ATTGTCAAAAACTGTCAAAGAACTTACAGATGAAGAGAAAAATTCAATAATAGAAAGTGCCAGGTCTGGAAATACAAACCCTAACTATAAAGTCACTTTTCATAGAAATGGAACGGCTAGTATCTCAAAAAAGAAACAGACTCTCACAAATAAAATATTGAAGTCTGAAGGAGCTTTTGAGACAACAGATGGAAAAGTTTACTTCACTGACCAACAGTTCATTATAGAACATCTCATTGACTTAGAGTCGAAATATTCTAAACTTTACAACAAACACAAAAAGTTGAAAGGAAAACAAAAACAAATGGCATATGATATTTATGAAGATGTTGACGACACAACTGTTCCTGCAGGTGGGGCACAGCCCGAGGAACCGAAAAGTGACGAAAAACCGATAGAAGAAGAAAAACCAAAAACTGAAGATAAACCAAAACCAAAGTTTAGTTTCCAAACTAAACCAAGTCAACCTTCATTAGCTGGTATGGGTTGGCGTCAAAGACTTATGGCAGCAGGCGGTTATGTAAAGTAAAGAAAAAAATATTTTTTTATTTTTATAAAAATGCCCCCATATAGAATGGATAGAAAATCTGCTAGAATAAAAGCAGAGTTACAAAAATATGGTTGGAGAGTTTCGAAGAATTTTAAATATAGGAAGGGAAGACCCATAAAAGTCTATGACAAATTGTCTGGTCTTCGCTACGAAATGGATTTGGAAACAGCACGTGCCAATTATCCAAACAGACTAGAGAGGTTAGAAGAAGAACGTCTTATGGACATGCCTTTCGATGTTAGTGAACCTCAAGTTGAAGGACACGACGGCTTTGCCAGATTCTACTGGAAACATGACGAACAATTGCATCCTTTGAGAAGGAAAAAAGGTAGTGCAGAGGATGGTCATGCTCCCATGGAAAGAACAAGATATGCATATGAAAAGTACCGTGAAGTTAGAAGTCAAATTACATCTGGTCGAACCTTTACAGTAAACTTTGACGAAGGAAAGAACAAAGAAGGCTTCATGGGAGTACTTGCTGCAATTCAAGACGGAAATAAGAAAGGACACAATCTCAAATTGACCATAACAGATTTGGATGGTCACATTTACTATGCACATGGCAATGAACAAACAGCCGCAAAACTTCTTGACGCTTTCAAGACTACAAAGAGAGAACAAATGGTTGACTCAGACTCAGACATTTTGAATGCAATTGAAGGAATTGCAAGTGTCAAGTTCGAATGGTACCAACCTAACCCTCAAGCAGTCAGACAACATGCTGGATACTTCCCCTTCATAAATAAGTCTGACATTGACTTGACAAGGTATGGAATTTACAATTCAATTGAAACAATTGTCAATGAACCTTGTATTCTCACATGTCTCAGGAACTCTGGTCTTGTTACAGAAGAGAAGATGAAGTATCTTGAGTCATGTGTGAAGACAAGGTACATTCTCAGAGGTCAATTGGCAAAAATTGCACCGTTGGCAAATGTCAATATCCGAGTCAACATACCTACAGCTAAAGGTTCTTCACATGACGACTATGTTGTTGAGTTCAATTTACCATGGTTGAAGATTGTAATTGTCCACAACCACTTCATGTTGAACGAAAGTCTTACAAACCCATTGTTCGGAAAAGGCAAGTGCAACATTGTCAGAGCTGTAAACATTCTTTTCGAGAAAGGTTTGTTGGAACCAATTCCAGATGACAAGCTGACAGAAAACTTTTGTACCAAAAGACGAAACAAACTTTTCACTGTTAGCAAGACCAAAAGTTGTTCCAGACAAAGTTCTAGTACAAAAGAAGTACACAATTCCACAAGGAGTTGGATTGTTCGGATACCAACCTGAACCAGAAGAACTTCCAATGAGGTTGCAAGAACTTCAAGATGCTATAAATAAACTTCCATTGAGACATCCAATTGACGTCAAATTGTATTGGAGAGCATCTGAGTTAGGTCAGAAGGTTTTATATGAAACAGGTTGCTTCGACGATGTTTATGAGATAACAGGAGAAGTTTCTCAGAAGATAAGAGACTCACTTGAATTTCCACAAACTGGACCAATTGGTTGCGACAAGTTCGACTCAAACGAAAAGATATACTATGTCGACCTTAACGCTGCATACATGAGGTTTGTCCAATATATTCCGACTGGAATTCCAAACGAAGATGGTGAGTTCCCGGGAAGGAACTATACAGTTGGAAAAGTCATACAACAACTGTATGATATTAGGAAAGCTTCAAACCCCAAACTTGCAATGACACTCAAATTGCTTATGAATTCGACATGGGGATATTCCATTAAAAAACCTCAAGAGATGAAGAGTAAACATTATGAGAAGGTCGACAACTTTGTTGAAAGGTTTTCTCCTTTTGTTTTGAAGTACGAATTCACTCAAGGTCAAAGTGGCTTAGTAACCACATTAAAAACCTATTGTCGAACATTGGTCTTACCCTCAGTTCGCAAAAGCAGTCCTTGACAACTACAACAAATTCTTCTCCGAAGTCAAATCCAAAGTGTGGTTTACTATGAGAACATTGACGCACTCATGACGAACGAAGAAGGATACAACAAACTCATTGAAATGGGAATGGTTGGTGAAAAGATGGGCTGTTTTAAGCTAGATAAGGTATTTTCCGAAGTTCATGTAATATCGAAAAGGAAATATTGGGCCATACTTGAAGACGGCACAGAAATAAAACATTGCATGAAATAAAAAATTATTTTTTAAAAAGTGACATTTTTAAATTTTATTTGAAATGTACGCTGAGTTTGTTGGAGAAGACCGTTAGGAAACTTGTTTGTTATATGAGAAATATGAAAATGGCATACCATTTTAAAAACAATATATTTTTCAATATATTAAATGCTTCAGGTTGAAAAACAAAGAACAAAAGTAGCAGATACAAAACCGTTAGACTATATCTTTACAAATGCTGGTAGGAATCTATCAGATGAAGAAATTTCATCCCGAGCATACAGGTTTGACTATCCAATTCGTTGGCTTCAAAGTCCTTCAGATGCAAAGGCAATAGGATTTAGAAGAGTTTTGTTTCAAATAGAACTAACGCATTTATGTTCGCAGTATATTTTCATGGGCAGTATAAAGGTTCTGATGGTCTAATAGACAAATTTGACGAAATGAAAATCTTTACAGTTCGTTCAGACGAAAGTCTTGAGAAAACTCTAAATGACTTTCAAACTCAAATGAACAAATATTATTGGGAATTTCAAAAAAAATACAACTCTTTACTAAATGGAACATACTATCTGAAACTAGAATATGACAAGATGAACTCCACCGTTTCATTTCAAAAGATTGAAATTAACCCTCCAAGAGATACAGAGTTTTTATTTTGGGAAGTAGACAAACGTTCTTGGGCACAATTTCTTCGGTTTACTAAACCAGAACGAACCATTACCACCAGATGGTCCATTTAAATTTATACTTCCACCAGCAGATTTGATGGTTTATAGAAACGTGTTTGACCCTCAAAATGTTATGTGTCATGCAAGTTTCAGTTCAAGCAACAATAGTTTTCTATGTATTGGTAAGGACTTTTATGACTTTGCTTCTAAATTCTACGAACCATCTAGTAACAGTTTCTCTGACTTTCAAGTTTGGTTCACAACAAATGGTGTGCAACATATTATTCCATTGTACTATGACTTTTATCTCGAATTGTCTTTCATATATAACTACAGAAAAGTGCTGAAAAAGTATTGAAAAATAATGTTTAGGTGAAGAGGTGACATCTCACCTCTTTTTTCACCTGTTTTCTCACCTGTTATTTTATAACCGTTTTACATGAATTGTACGATGTATATTTGAAATCTTAAACAGTTTCGTAGCTTCTATTTCTTCTTTTAGTACATCGAATGTTTTAACGATACCGAAGGTTTCTTTATACTTCTTCTTGACGTCAGATAGAAGGAAATCGTCAGCAGTTGGATAGTTTTTGTTCAGAAATTCTAACATGTTCATTTTATTTTCTGCTGGCTTCTCTGCTTCTTTCTTTAAATCTGCATAGTCGTTTCTCATTCTTTCTATCTCTTTGACGGAGTAGTTATATTTCCTAATTGCTGCTTTACATTTAGAACATTGCGGGTTCATTTTTGCGTTATATTCTGAAACCTTACCTGCTAAAACAACTAAGGCGTCAATGGTTTTCTTTAAATCTGAAGCAGTTGGTTTTATCTGTTCGTTCCATACTTTACCTCTTCTATCTTTATCTCTTATTTCCCAAACACATTTTGCAACTAATGAAACAAAGTTGTCGTAGGTCTTAAATTCTTCAGATTTATATATGTCAGAAACATTCTTATAAACCATGTCGCAATCTTTGTCCATAACCTTATGGTTGCAATGAAAACCAAGGAATTCATAATTTACCTTTCGTATGAACTTCTTTATTTCTACTGAGTCAGTTGGTTTCACTTCAATTTCGTCGAATTCAGGAATAGTGAGTTTTTGTTGTTGGATTTCAGGTAGTTTAGGCAAATGGTCAATAATGTCCTGCATTTCATAAAGATATTCTTCATTTGTTTCATCTTTCGCACTACAGTCTAAATTACTTGTTAAAAGTTCTTGCTTTATCTTCTGGATTTTTGTTTCGAAAGTATATGAAGAAGGAATGAAGCTTTTCATCTCTACTAACATAGATGTTGGATTCATGACTAACGAGTTTGGTGCTGTTGTTTGAATTGTTGTTGTGCCGATTGTTGACATTTCTGTTCTTTTATACAAAATAAAAAAATAAATAAAATAAAACTAACTTTATTTTTTATTTCATGAAAATTCATGAGGTGAGAAAACAGGTGAGAAAAGAGGTGAAATCTCACCTCTTCACCTAAATTATATTTTTGGGTCATTTACACTCATTACGATGAAGAAATCATGACAAAACATTTACGTTCATGTTTGACAAAACATTTACGAAGAAGAAGTTTCGACAAAACATTTACGATGAAGAAGTTTCGACAAAACATTAATATATAAAATTCATGAAAATTCATGAGGTGAGAAAACAGGTGAGATGTCACATTCTAACATAAACTTTATTTTTACTGAATTTAGCAACAACTTTCTCTCAATTGGAGCTGTAGCATACTCTTTGCGTAAGCGGTTCAGACCTTCTTCGAAGTCTTGGTCTCTCTTGGACTGAGATTGGAATTGTGGGGCAGGTTTTTGCATAAACATCCAAGGGTTGGAGCTGTAGCATACTCTTTGCGTAAGCGGTTCAGACCTTCTTCGAAGTCTTGGTCTCTCTTGGACTGAGATTGGAATTTGAATTGGGGTGGAGCTTGCTGGAACATCCAAGGGTTGGGGAAGTAAGGCATAGGCTGAGGAGGGTAGTTCGGGAAGCCTTGTGGTAGGTAGTAACCTTGAGGTGGAAATTGGTAGTAATTTGGATTGAGATTGGAATTGCTGGAACTGAGGTGCAGGGGCTGGTGCTTTCGGTTCTTCTGGATTGAGATTGGACTCGGTTGGTGGGACGTCGGACATTCGTTTGTGGCTTAACCGTCGGACCACAACGATAAAAATCTCTGCTACTAGCAGTACTGCTACTGACAGTAGCAGTACTTTTTCTGACAGTAGCAGTACTTTTACTGACAGTAGCAGTACTTTTACTGACAGTAGCAGTACTTTATCGTCGAAAACCCTCTCAAATTTTCCTTTTTACTGCTCCTAGCAGTACTGCTACTGACAGTAGCAGTACTTTTCTGACAGTAGTACTTTCTGACAGTAGCAATGGTCGAGGTCGAACCTACGACGAGGCAATTTACCTAATTGAAATTAACGAGCTTGTTAAAGACTTCCTCAGGCAGAATGTAAAAGGCAAGCTTGTTAACTGTTGGATAACGGGAAGGGCTGCCTTGAATCTCGAGACTTCGACTGGAATTCCAATTCAAATACCAGACGGGACAGCCTACGACGACATAAAGGACGCCAAAAGAGAAGCTCTTGTTAAGTTCCTAAACAAGCGTCCTTGGATAAAAATACCAAACAGAGAGAGTCCAATTCCACGAATTATACAAATTCTCAAGGGTCTCCTTCACTTCTCGGGTCAACCATTCTACATAACCTGTGAAGGCGACATCCAACCAGTTCAGTAAACATCTCATTTTAACTCACTTTTTTATGTTTTTTGTGAAAGTGTCAAAAATAAATTGTTTTCATGAAAATTCAAGAGGTGAGAAAACAGGTGAGAAAAGAGGTGAGATGTCACCTCTTCACCTAAACATTATTTTTCAATACTTTTTCAGCACTTTTCTGTAGTTATATATGAAAGACAATTCGAGATAAAAGTCATAGTACAATGGAATAATATGTTGCACACCATTTGTTGTGAACCAAACTTGAAAGTCAGAGAAACTGTTACTAGATGGTTCGTAGAATTTAGAAGCAAAGTCATAAAAGTCCTTACCAATACATAGAAAACTATTGTTGCTTGAACTGAAACTTGCATGACACATAACATTTTGAGGGTCAAACACGTTTCTATAAACCATCAAATCTGCTGGTGGAAGTATAAATTTAAATGGACCATCTGGTGGTAATGGTTCGTTCTGGTTTAGTAACCGAAGAAATTGTGCCCAAGAACGTTTGTCTACTTCCCAAAATAAAAACTCTGTATCTCTTGGAGGGTTAATTTCAATCTTTTGAAATGAAACGGTGGAGTTCATCTTGTCATATTCTAGTTTCAGATAGTATGTTCCATTTAGTAAAGAGTTGTATTTTTTTTGAAATTCCCAATAATATTTGTTCATTTGAGTTTGAAAGTCATTTAGAGTTTTCTCAAGACTTTCGTCTGAACGAACTGTAAAGATTTTCATTTCGTCAAATTTGTCTATTAGACCATCAGAACCTTTATACTGCCCATGAAAATATACTGCGAACATAAATGCGTTAGTTCTATTTGAAAACAAAACTCTTCTAAATCCTATTGCCTTTGCATCTGAAGGACTTTGAAGCCAACGAATTGGATAGTCAAACCTGTATGCTCGGGATGAAATTTCTTCATCTGATAGATTCCTACCAGCATTTGTAAAGATATAGTCTAACGGTTTTGTATCTGCTACTTTTGTTCTTTGTTTTTCAACCTGAAGCATTTAATATATGTAAAAATATATTGTTTTAAAATGGTATGCCATTTCATATTTCTCATATAACAAACAAGTTTCCTAACGGTCTTCTCCAACAAACTCAGCGTACATTTCAAATAAAATTTAAAAATGTCACTTTTTAAAAAATAATTTTTTATTTCATGCAATGTTTTATTTCTGTGCCGTCTTCAAGTATGCCCCAATATTTCCTTTTCGATATTACATGAACTTCGGAAAATACCTTATCTAGCTTAAAACAGCCCATCTTTTCACCAACCATTCCCATTTCAATGAGTTTGTTGTATCCTTCTTCGTTCGTCATGAGTGCGTCAATGTTCTCATAGTAAACCACAACTTTGGATTTGACTTCGGAGAAGAATTTGTTGTAGTTGTCAAGGACTGCTTTTGCGAACTGAGGGTAAGACCAATGTTCGACAATAGGTTTTAATGTGGTTACTAAGCCACTTTGACCTTGAGTGAATTCGTACTTCAAAACAAAAGGAGAAAACCTTTCAACAAAGTTGTCGACCTTCTCATAATGTTTACTCTTCATCTCTTGAGGTTTTTTAATGGAATATCCCCATGTCGAATTCATAAGCAATTTGAGTGTCATTGCAAGTTTGGGGTTTGAAGCTTTCCTAATATCATACAGTTGTTGTATGACTTTTCCAACTGTATAGTTCCTTCCCGGGAACTCACCATCTTCGTTTGGAATTCCAGTCGGAATATATTGGACAAACCTCATGTATGCAGCGTTAAGGTCGACATAGTATATCTTTTCGTTTGAGTCGAACTTGTCGCAACCAATTGGTCCAGTTTGTGGAAATTCAAGTGAGTCTCTTATCTTCTGAGAAACTTCTCCTGTTATCTCATAAACATCGTCGAAGCAACCTGTTTCATATAAAACCTTCTGACCTAACTCAGATGCTCTCCAATACAATTTGACGTCAATTGGATGTCTCAATGGAAGTTTATTTATAGCATCTTGAAGTTCTTGCAACCTCATTGGAAGTTCTCTGGTTCAGGTTGGTATCGAACAATCCAACTCCTTGTGGAATTGTGTACTTCTTTGTACTAGAACTTTGTCTGGAACAACTTTTGGTCTTGCTAACAGTGAAAAGTTTGTTTCGTCTTTTGGTACAAAAGTTTTCTGTCAGCTTGTCATCTGGAATTGGTTCCAACAAACCTTCTCGAAAAGAATGTTTAAGCTCGACAATGTTGCACTTGCCCTTTTCCGAACAATGGGTTTGTAAGACTTTCGTTCAACATGAAGTGGTTGTGGGACAATTACAATCTTCAACCATGGTAAATTGAACTCAACAACATAGTCGTCATGTGAAGAACCTTTAGCTGTAGGTATGTTGACTCGGATATTGACATTTGCCAACGGTGCAATTTTTGCCAATTGACCTCTGAGAATGTACCTTCTTCACACATGACTCAAGATACTTCATCTTCTCTTCTGTAACAAGACCAGAGTTCCTGAGACATGTGAGAATACAAGGTTCATTGACAATTGTTTCAATTGAATTGTAAATTCCATACCTTGTCAAGTCAATGTCAGACTTATTTATGAAGGGGAAGTATCCAGCATGTTGTCTGACTGCTTGAGGGTTAGGTTGGTACATTCGAACTTGACACTTGCAATTCCTTCAATTGCATTCAAAATGTCTGAGTCTGAGTCAACATTTGTTCTCTCTTTGTAGTCTTGAAAGCGTCAAGAAGTTTTGCGGCTGTTTGTTCATTGCCATGTGCATAGTAAATGTGACCATCCAAATCTTTATGGTCAATTTGAGATTGTGTCCTTTCTTATTTCGTCTTGAATTGCAGCAAGTACTCCCATGAAGCCTTCTTTGTTTCTTTCCTTCGTCAAAGTTTACTGTAAAGGTTCGACCCAGATGTAATTTGACTTCTAACTTCACGGTACTTTTCATATGCATATCTTTGTTCTTTCCATGGGAGCATGACCATCCTCTGACTACCTTTTTTCCTTCTCAAAGGATGCAATTGTTCGTCATGTTTCCAGTAGAATCTGGCAAAGCCGTCGTGTCTTCAACTTGAGGTTCACTAACATCGAAAGGCATGTCCATAAGACGTTCTTCTTCTAACCTCTCTAGTCTGTTTGGATAATTGGCACGTGCTGTTTCCAAATCCATTTCGTAGCGAAGACCAGACAATTTGTCATAGACTTTTATGGGTCTTCCCTTCCTATATTTAAAATTCTTCGAAACTCTCCAACATATTTTTGTAACTCTGCTTTTATTCTAGCAGATTTTCTATCCATTCTATATGGGGGCATTTTTTATAAAAATAAAAAATATTTTTTCTTTACTTTACATAACCGCCTGCTGCATAAGTCTTTGACGCCAACCCATACCAGCTAATGAAGGTTGACTTGGTTTAGTTTGGAAACTAAACTTTGGTTTTGGTTTATCTTCAGTTTTTGGTTTTTCTTCTTCTATCGGTTTTTCGTCACTTTTCGGTTCCTCGGGCTGTACCCCACCTGCAGGAACAGTTGTGTCGTCAACATCTTCATAAATTCATATGCCATTTGTTTTTGTTTTCCTTTCAACTTTTTGTGTTTGTTGTAAAGTTTAGAATATTTCGACTCTAAGTCAATGAGATGTCTATAATGAACTGTTGGTCAGTGAAGTAAACTTTTCCATCTGTTGTCTCGAAAGCTTCCTTCAGACTTCAATATTTTATTTGTGAGAGTCTGTTTTCTTTTTTGAGATACTAGCCGTTCCATTTCTATGAAAAAGTGACTTTATAGTTAGGGTTTGTATTTCCAGACCTGGCACTTTCTATTATTGAATTTTTTCTCTTCATCTGTAAGTTCTTTGACAGGTTTTGACAATGGTTCTGAACTTTTTGTTTGTGGTGTCAAATCTACCGTTTCAACTTCTTCGGTCATTTTCAGGTCCGTAAAAAATTTTAGTTTGGTTTGTTTTCAACTGGTTGTTGTTGTTTTTTAAGTCGGTCTAAAACTTCCTGAGGTATAGGAAGAACTTGACAAACACGTGGTGTAACTGCTGGAAGTCGACAAATCCATCTTGAACCCATTTGTCTCAATGCTGTATTGTTCATTTCATCTCAGTAAAAAATTTTACATTCCCCACGTTTGAGGCGGTTGAGGTTGGTTATTGTTTACCCATTGTTGTGCATGGTTATATCCTCTGTTAAAGAATCTTTCACCTTGGTCCATATAGTGTCCTGCTTGGTTATAGTAGTCATTTGCTTTGTTATAATAGTTTCCTGCTTGTCTTCCTACATTGTCCATCCATCCTTGAACTTTTCCTCTTGTTTCAGGATTTGGAATAAGATTTGTTGCATCTCGTGCTACTCCCAACCTTTCTGTACAGTTTGTATAATAGGTTGTGCTTTCTCTTTAAGTATACC